AGCTAGTCACTAGTAAGCACAGGTAATTGTAATACGGGGTTGTGTGTCACTTAACAATCTTCACAACCCCGTAATGCAATTACCTGTGCTCACTGTTGATAAGTCCCATACCAGGACGAAACGGCCGTCTTTCAGTGCTTCCAACTTTCTAATGGAGTGGTCTAACACTGATCGATTCATGGTTTCAAAATGTGTGTAAATTAAAAATCTTCACAACCCCGTGGTGCAATTTTCTTTTTGTAATTGCATTATTTCTCCTTCATATTGAGAAAAAAATCAGCTGTGTTTTGCTACATTATGCCAGCATAAATTATTAAGTAATTGTTTGAAATTTAATTAATTTTAGCTCTATTTTTCATATACTAAAACCAAATTCGGGTATATTGATTTTTTCAAAGATACTTCTTACTTTGTTTGATTGCTAGCAGTGATATTAAACGGTTGTCTAAATTGAGTGAGCCGGCTACAACACTGACACCTACTGATTCAGATCCTCATATTACATAACCGTTAAGTCGTTACTTCGAAACGAACAGTTTGAAGTAGGTCATTTGTAAGACCAGAGCCTTAAGAATAATACATCGAAATATATATATATACATATATATATATATATATATATATATATATACTTACACCCTTTGTACATTCACTTGAACTGCTGACAGCAGTATTCTCTTCCACATCAAATAAATCAATAAGACAATCACTTTGTATTAATATATGATCAATTGGTATTTGAGTTTCTATATTTAAACAATAAGCTGATAATTCTTTATTTAAATAAAATTTATAATCTAATTCCAGCGGCATTAAAATGATTTGCTCTTTTTCTAATTGATTTTGATTCGATTTCATCAGTTGTAATTGATTTTCTAAATCGGAAATTTCTTCACTGTTTAGTAAAAGAAAAAAAAAGGACATTGAGAACAGACAGCATGGAACATTGAACACAAATACCATTAATAAAGTTTTAGGACGAGTGTACTGTGCAGTGGTTCGCTCCGTCTTACTTTATGGCTGTGAAACATGGCCAGTGAGAGTAGAAAATATTCGTAGGTTACTAGTATTCGATCATAGGTGTCTTCGAAGCATTGCTCGTATATCGTGGGACACCCGAGTGAGCAATGCTGTTATTAGGAATCGGGTGCTAGGTAAGAATGGCAGATCAATAGACGCTGTAGTGACACTTCATCAGTTGAGGTGGTTGAGACATGTGTTACGTATGGCTAACCACCAACTGCCTCGACGAGCTATGTTTTGTAGTGTAGGAGTAGGTTGGAAGAAAGTTAGGGGCGGCCAAACCAAAACATGGCAGAAATCCATGAAGTCATTGACTAGTGGACTGAGCCATGTCGGTAATTGTCGACTACCTGGTTGGGGTCCACGAGATGATAATAGTCGATGGTTAGAGACCTTGAATGACATGGCTCATAATCGTTCACAATGGCGCCGGAGTATTTATCATTTGTTTTGGCTCGAATCCTAATCTTCTGGATTCTTCAACAACTCTAGTTTTGTCTTTCTAAACTTATCTCACTGAATCATACTTCTTGAATAATATCTTCTAATTCTAACCTCTCCGATTAACTCCTAATACCTTTACTACCTGTTCTACTATTGGATTTGAATTGACAATTATATCTCTGTGCTGATGTGGTATGGCAACATGGACTGATGTACTTACGTACGAAGTTCCACGTTGCATCTGACTGACTGACTAGTTAAACTAAACAATTGTATAGTTTCGTTCTGAGTGCTTTTTGAACTGGATTTACGAAAATCTTTCCTCAGTCAACAAAAAAAAGTCTCAAGGGGTAAAAGCATTTTCAGAAATACAGTTTTTACAAAACTTAACTGATACAAAAGTCCATGTTCTGAGCAGCACTAAGTTATAATTAGTTGATTACTGGTAAGCAGCCAATGAGTGTCATGTCTGTCTGGTATTTTTCGAGTACGATAGAATATTATCGGTCAAAATGTAGCTGCCAACTAAGGGATTTGTGAAAAGCCTGCTTAAAATGAACGCAAGATCTGAATTCCCGTTTTCTAATAACCATTAGGCTAATTCTACACGCCAACTTGAACACAACAGAAAAGGCAACGAAGTACGAGATGAATTCTCTATTCCAAAGTTAGTTTATGTACAGACAGATGAGGGTATTGATAAAGTTACTCATGGACCTTGTACTTCTAAAAGTTTCGAGAACTACTATTTTCCAGATGTTTTTGTGAGGGTTGCATCCCATGCTGATTAGATAAAATGTCTCTTGGACATTTCGGAACTCCCCGACAGATGGATAATATCAAATGAACTTCTCTAGAACATAAAACTTAAGGATTCCAACTATAGCAGATGAATTCAAACCCAGTCAAACAGCAGCCTGGATTACATTAAGTGACATTGAAGGTCATGCTTATTATCTATCAAATGACTTCTTAATCGACTAGTTCTGTCAAAACTTAGCTAGCTATACATTCGACGAATCTTTTATGAACCGAATTCTATTATGTAAACTAAATACATTTTAATTGTTTACAAATCAAAAACCGCGAAAATAAAAATTACAACTATAAAAATTGTTCTTTATTGCTCTAATCTATAATAAAATATTCGTATTGTTAGAAATGAAGTTTATGCAAATAACCCCATAAAAACTAAAAGAAAAACCACTAACCACCAGAACTGATCACTCACTTTAATTTATTGATTTTTGACATAAATTGAAGTTGCATTGGATCAGGTTGGTCAATGATTGCTTCTTTTTTGAGTGGTTGTGTAGTTAAACCAAAAATTAAAACCTTAAGAATCAAATTATCCAAAAAGTGTAGATTTATTGTCTTTGCAATTAGTATTACTCGCAATATGAAAAGAATTTGATATGGCAATACGATATTTCATAGTGTGTCATAATACTTCAGTTTACTTACTTACGCCTGTTACCCCCAATGCAGCATAGGCTGCCTACCAGTTTTTGCCATCAACTCTGTCCTGGGCTTCCTTCTCCAGTTCTGTCCTGTGTTTGTTAATTTCTCTCATATCTTTCTCCATTTCACGGCGTAATGTGCTCTTTGGCCTTCCTCTTTTCCTTTTGCCTTGAGGGTTCCATGTGAGGGCTTGTCTCGTGACGCAGTTAGGTGCTTTCCGCAATGTGTGTACTATCCACTTCCCACCGCTTCTTCCTGATTTCTCCTCCTCCACTGCAGGAATCTGGTTTGTTCTCTCCCATAGTACGTTGCTGCTGATCGTGTCTGGCCAACGAATACGAAGCATTTGGCTTAGACAACTGTTCATAAACACTTGTATCTTGTGGATGATGGCTTTCGTAGTTCTCCATGTTTCCGCTCCATACATTTGAACTGTCTTCACATTTGTATTGAAGAATCCTGATTTTGATTTGGTTGAAAAGTTGTTTGGAGTTGCAGATATTTTTTCAACTGTAGAAATGCAGCCTTCGCTTTGCCAATCCGTGCCCTCACATCTGCCACCTTTCTCGTCGATGATGCTGCAAGATATGTAAAGGTGTTAATGTCCTCCAAGGCATCTCCATCAGAGTGATTTGGTTTGGTGCATGTATGTGTTTTGCATCGGAGAATTTTGCTTTTTCCTTTACGTATGTTGAGACAATGTGTCCATAATACAAAATATTTATCTCCTTGAGAGGGAATTTAATCCACAATTGTACAATTATAAACATATATATTATGTTTTAATTCTCTGAAGTTGGTAGCCAACTGGTATGTTTTTTAAAGGTAACAGAAATTTGCTGAACATTGTAATGGAAAAGTCAATAAAAAAAACACGAAAAATGTGCCTGTTAAAAAATTCGACTGTCCACTAAAAAACGTCATCCGCATCATAAAAAGCATGATTGTACAAAGTAGCTGATTGATTAACACTGTAAGATGAAGTGTAGAAAATAAAGATGCAACTTAATCGAATGAGGCATTAGAATAAAGGAAAAAGTAAAAGGTAGTAGTGTAGAACGAGACACAGGTGGGGCAACTGAATGTGTAATCAACGAAAATTATAGAGTTACTCAGTAAAATTGGAAAACCATATCGTAAATCGTTCATTTGCAAAATATCAGTTCATCATCATATCGAACAGGACTGTTCCTGTTGCAAAACATCAATCCATTGTCACTACTATTCATGCGCTTCATACAAAATTCCATTGTGTTCTAACTCTTCCTTTCTTGATCTTCCCCCATCTTCTGCTGCTGCCAGACATAACGTTGACACTGACGTCATATACTACTTATAAGTAGCTCAAACCACAGTAGTAGTATAATAAACTTTGAAAAACGAGGGTTTTTAAGACTATGATGGAAGTAGCAGAAGATTGAATAGGTGTATTTGTATGCATAACAACAAAAACAAACCGTACCTGTATATGTGATGCATAAAAGTTCCGGATAATTCACATTCGAGAATCGACCCACTTTTACAGATGTTAAATGATGATTTACATTCTAAAACGTGAAAAAAAGAAATAGACGAAACAGGTCATATCAAAAATGAACAAACAGTTGATACATTATTCCATAAGTGTAATAACTGCATACTCTCTACCTATGAGAATAATAGAACATGAATTTTAAGCTAACATTCCTGCGTTGTTTCCAAAGTAACACGCGAATCAACTACATGACTTTTGTTATCGTTGTTAAATTGATTGACAAAATATCCGTTTTCTCTAATGATTATAGAAGACCCTTGCTGATGGGTAGCATTTGCTCAAACGAACTGGAGCCTTCTCAGCTGCCTATTGTTTTTCAATTACCTTATAAAAAAAAACAAAATTCACCGTGATCTTTACATTTCTACATTGATTGTCGATAAGAATTGATCAGTGCTGCAAATGAGATTATACTGGATACGAGTCACTATCGAGTCACCATCGCCAATAAGATTAACATTTATACCTATCATATCTATAGAAAAGAACATTATTCCCTATATAGGGAATGTTCTTTCTATAGATATGATAGGTATAAATGTTAATCTTATTGGCGATGGTGACTCGATAGTGACTCGTATCCAGTATAATCTCATTTGCAGCACTGATCAATTCTTATCGACAATCAATGTAGAAATGTAAAGATCACGGTGAATTTTGTTTTTTTTATAAGGTAATTGAAAACAATAGGCAGCTGAGAAGGCTCCAGTTCGTTTGAGCTAAATGCTACCCATCAGCAAGGGTCTTCTATAATCATTAGAGAAAACGGATATTTTGTCAATCAATTTAAAACGATAACAAAAGTCATGTAGTTGATTCGCGTGTTACTTTGGAAACAACGCAGGAATGTTAGCTTAAATTCATGTTCTATTATTCTCATAGGTAGAGAGTATGCAGTTATACACTTATGGAATAATGTATCAACTTGTTTGTTCATTTTGGATATGACCTGTTTCGTCTATTTCTTTTTTTTTGCACGTTTTAGAATGTAAATCATCATTTAACATCTGTAAAAGCTGGTCGATTCTCGAATGTGAATTATCCGGAACTTTTATGCATCACATATACAGGTACGGTTTGTTTTGTTGTTATGCATACAAATACACCTATTCAATCTTCTGCTACTTCCATCATAGTCTTAAAAACCCTCGTTTTTCAAGTTTATTATACTACTACTGTGGTGTGAGCTACTTATGAGTAGTATATGACGTGGGTAAAAACGTAATGTATGGCAGCAGCAGAAGATGGGGGGAAGATCAAGAAGAAAGGAAGAGTTAGAACACAATGGAATTTGTATGAAACGCATGAATAGTAGTGACAATGGATTGATGTTTTGCAACAGGAACAGTCCAGTTCGATATGATGATGAACTGATATTTTGCAAATGAACGATTTACGATATGGTTTTCCGATTTTACTGAGTAACTCTATAATTTTCGTTGATTACACATTCAGTTGCCCCACCTGTGTTCTCGTTCACTACACTACTACCTTTTACTTTTCCTTTATTCTAATGCCTCATTCGATTAAGTTGCATCTTTATTTCTACACTTCATCTTACAGTGTTAATCAATCAGCTACTTTGTACAATCATTGCTTTTTATGATGCGGATGACGTTTTTTAGTGGACAGTCGAATTTTTAACAGGCACATTTTTCGTGTTTTTTTTATTGACTTTTCCATTACAATGTTCAGCAAATTTCTGTTACCTTTAAAAAACATACAGTTGGCTACCAACTTCAGAGAATTAAAACATAATATATATGTTTATAATTGTACAATTGTGGATAAATTCCTCTCAAGGAGATAAATATTTTGTATTATGACACATTGTCTCAACATACGTAAAGGAAAAAGCAAAATTCTCCGATGCAACACAACATGCACCAACCAAATCACTCTTGATGGAGATGCCTTGGAGGACATTAACACCTTTACATATCTTGGCAGCATCATCGACGAGAAAGGTGGATCGGATGCAGATGTGAGGGCACGGATTGGCAAAGCGAAGGCTGCATTTCTACAGTTGAAAAATATCTGGAACTCCAAACAACTTTCAACCAAAATCAAAATCAGGATTTTCAATACAAATATGAAAACAGTTCTACTGAATGGAGCGGAAACTTGGCGAACTACGAAAGCCATCATCCAGAAGATACAAGTGTTTATGAACAGTTGTCTACGCAAAATACTTCGTATTCGTTGGCCAGACACCATCAGCAACAACGTACTGTGGGAGAGAACGAACCAGATTCCAGTGGAGGAGGAAATCAGGAAGAAGCGGTGGAAGTGGATAGGACACACATTGCGGAAAGCACCTAACTGCGTCACGAGACAAGCCCTCACATGGAACCCTCAAGGCAAAAGGAAAAGAGGAAGGCCAAAGAACAACACATTACGCCGAGAAATAGAGAAAGATATGAGAGGAATGAACAAACATTGGACAGAACTGGAGAAGGATGCCCAGGACAGAGTTGGTTGGAGAAAACTGGTGGGCGGCCTATGCTCCATTTGGGGTAACAGGCGTAAGTAAGTAAACTGAAGTATTATGACACACTATGAAATATCGTATTGCATATCAAATTCTTTTCATATTGCGAGTAATACTAATTGCAAAGACAATAAATCTACACTTTTTGATAATTTGATTCTTAAGGTTTAATTTTTGGTTTAACTACACAACCACTCAAAAAAGAAGCAATCATTGACCAACCTGATCCAATGCAACTTCAATTTATGTCAAAAATCAATAAATTAAAGTGAGTGATCAGTTCTGGTGGTTAGTGGTTTTTCTTTTAGTTTTATGGGGTTATTTGCATAACTTCATTTCTAACAATACGAATATTTTATTATAGATTAGAGCAATAAAGAACAATTTTTATAGTTGTAATTTTTATTTTCGGGTTTTTGATTTGTAAACAATTAAAATGTATTTAGTTTACATAATAGAATTCGGTTCATAAAAGATTCGTCGAAGTTTATTGTATAGCTAGCTAAGTTTTGACAGAACTAGTCGATAAGAGTCATTTGATAGATAATAAGCATGACCTTCAATGTCACTTAATGTAATCCAGGCTGCTGTTTGACTGGGTTTGAATTCATCTGCTATAGTTGGAATCCTTAAGTTTTATGTTCTAGAGAAGTTCATTTGATATTATCCATCTGTCGGGGGAGTTCCGAAATGTCCAAGAGACATTTTATCTAATCAGCATGGGATGCAACCCTCACAAAAACATCTGGAAAATAGTAGTTCTCGAAACTTTTAGAAGTACAAGGTCATGAGTAACTTTATCAATACCCTCATCTGTCTGTACATAAACTAACTTTGGAATAGAGAATTCATCTCGTACTTCGTGCCTTTTCTGTTGTGTTCAAGTTGGCGTGTAGAATTAGCCTAATGGTTATTAGAAACGGAATTCAGATCTTGCGTTCATTTAAGCAGGCTTTTCACAAATCCCTTAAGTTGGCAGCTACATTACAAGTTGACCGATAATATTCTATCGTACTCGAAAAATACCAGACAGACATGACACTCATTGGCTGCTTACCAGTAATCAACTAATTATAACTTTAGTGCTGCTCAGAACATGGATTTTGTATCAGTTAAGTTTTGTAAAACTGTATTTCTGAAAATGCTTTTACCCCTTGAGACTTTTTTTTGTTGACTGAGGAAAGATTTTCGTAAATCAGTTCAAAAAGCACTCAGAACGAAACTATACAATTGTTTAGTTTAACTAGTCAGTCAGTCAGATGCAACGTGGAACTTCGTACGTAAGTACATCAGTTCATGTTGCCATACCACATCAATTCAAATCCAATAGTAGAACAGGTAGTAAAGGTATTAGGAGTAATCGGAGAGGTTAGAATTAGAAGATATTATTCAAGAAGTATGATTCAGTGAGATAAGTTTAGAAAGACAAAACTAGAGTTGTTGAAGAATCCAGAAGATTAGGATTTGAGAGAGCACAATAAATGCACCGGCGCCATTGCGAACGATTTTGAGCCATGTCATTCAAGGTCTCTAACTATCGACTATTATCATCTCGTGGACCCCAACCAGGTAGTCGACAATTACCGACATGGCTCAATCCACTTGTCAGTGACTTCGCGGATTTCTGCCATGTTTTGGTTTGGCCGCCAATAAATTTTCTTCCAACCTACTCCTACACTACAAAACATTGCTGGTCAATGCAGTTGGTGGTTAGCCATACGTAACACATGTCCCAACCACCTCAACTGATGAAGTTTCAATAATTCATCTATTGATCTGCCATTCTTACCTAGCACCCGATTCCTAATAACAGCGTTGCTCACTCGGGTGTCCCACGGTATATGAGCAATGCTTCGAAGACACCTATGATCGAAAATCAGTAACCTACGAATATTTTCTACTCTCATTGGCCATGTTTCACAGCCATAAAGTAAGACGGAGCGAACCACTGCACAGTACACTCGTCCTAACTTTATTAATGGTATTTGTGTTCAATGTTCCATGCTGTCTGTTCTCAATGTCCTTTTTTTTTCTTTTACTAAACAGTGAAGAAATTTCCGATTTAGAAAATCAATTACAACTGATGAAATCGAATCAAAATCAATTAGAAAAAGAGCAAATCATTTTAATGCCGCTGGAATTAGATTATAAATTTTATTTAAATAAAGAATTATCAGCTTATTGTTTAAATATAGAAACTCAAATACCAATTGATCATATATTAATACAAAGTGATTGTCTTATTGATTTATTTGATGTGGAAGAGAATACTGCTGTCAGCAGTTCAAGTGAATGTACAAAGGGTGTAAGTATATATATATATATATATATATATATATATGTATATATATATATTTCGATGTATTATTCTTAAGGCTCTGGTCTTACAAATGACCTACTTCAAACTGTTCGTTTCGAAGTAACGACTTAACGGTTATGTAATATGAGGATCTGAATCAGTAGGTGTCAGTGTTGTAGCCGGCTCACTCAATTTAGACAACCGTTTAATATCACTGCTAGCAATCAAACAAAGTAAGAAGTATCTTTGAAAAAATCAATATACCCGAATTTGGTTTTAGTATATGAAAAATAGAGCTAAAATTAATTAAATTTCAAACAATTACTTAATAATTTATGCTGGCATAATGTAGCAAAACACAGCTGATTTTTTTCTCAATATGAAGGAGAAATAATGCAATTACAAAAAGAAAATTGCACCACGGGGTTGTGAAGATTTTTAATTTACACACATTTTGAAACCATGAATCGATCAGTGTTAGACCACTCCATTAGAAAGTTGGAAGCACTGAAAGACGGCCGTTTCGTCCTGGTATGGGACTTATCAACAGTGAGCACAGGTATTTGCATTACGGGGTTGTGACGATTGTTAAGTTACACCCCCGTAATGCAAATTACCTGTGCTTACTAGTGACTAGCTTCGTGAGGAATCTTCTCCGAGTTCTAGTGAGGAAGACGTGACCAGTGAAGTTCAACCCGTTCAGGTGTAGGACGTAAAGACTGTATCTGAGGGTTTCGCTAACTCCGTGAAAGGTTGATTCCAAGTTAGACATTAACACCGTTAGATACCGGCTCAGTGGTCCGATGGTTAGGCGTTCGCCTACAATACCGAAGGTCCTGGGTTGGAATCCTGCAGAGTGCAGGAGTCGTAGATGCTCACTGCTCAGGAGTCCCTTACCAGGAATTGACGGTCGTCTTTCAGTGCTTCCAGGTTTCTAATGTTGGTCTAACATTGATCGATTCATGGTTTCGAAAATGTGCGAAAAGAAAATTGTTCAATGATTTATGCTAATTGACTAAATAATAGGATAAATTGTCCAGTCAAATTATTCAGATCATGACATACAATGAGTGTACTTCAGTATCCAATGATGTTATTGACCATTGGCTAAAAAATATTGATTTGCTTTATTCTTTTTCTTTTTTTTTTTTAAAAAAACAAACCATTTATTCTTTATTCTATTCTATTTGCTTTTTAATTAGGATGGCAATGTATTATTAACAACTTATCGATGTCAAGTGAATACAACACAATTTGACGCGCAATTTCGTACAATCGAAGGTCAATATGGTCATTTATCAGTGTATATTGTGCCGAAAATGAATTTATCAACTATAATTACTTGTAAATGTATCAAATTAATAATATATCCATTATCATTAGATTGTTTAATTCATCGTATCGATGATGATCCTTGCAAACGGTAAGTTGATTTATTTTATCTGAATAGAAATTTCAGTAAACGAATAATTCATTAGTAAACCAAAGAGATTTATAATTTTTAGCAATTCAATCCGTTATTATTGTGCAGTGTCCCAAATTTAGACTGCATATTCGCTAAACTCCTGCTGAGTTGGCTATTTGAGCGAGAAGAAGGCAAGAGTAGAAGCGATCAGTGATATGCACTCGTCATTTAGAATGTTTCTTTCTGTCAGTCATCAAATGCCATTTACCTTTGGATACTTCTGATTGGCTCATGGAATCAATTGTTTCACGTAGAATACAGTAACAAATAAGGAACTATTTAAGAAAATTTACATCATTAAATAAGTAAGAAGAATAATTTTCTACTTGACGTAACTTAGAATTTCGACAGCGTAGTTTACGAAGATATAAAGCAAAGATAAAATGCTTATAAGCCAATAGGATACGTAATCTGAAATCTACTCCATTTCTTATCCAGAGTTCTGGTAGCCAAGTGATGTATTCTTTCTTTGCCTCTGTGCACAATGGACCATTTACATTTTTTCTGTATTAATTCAGTTTCATATATACATATACAGATAATTTTATAATAATTTTGTTTTGTTTTTTTTTTCATAAAAAAGATATTGGAATAGTTTACAATTAACTGGAAATTTCTCTTTAACAGAAATGCACAATTGGTTATTTATGTGTTTACCTGAAACACCTGAAAGGCCTACATTAAGCACATCAACTACATTTCAATGTAATGATTATAAAAGTCAAGAGATTCAAGAATTTGCTCAATTGTTCTATGAATCAATTTATCTTAAAAGTCAATTGAAATGTGTTTATGCAAAAGGTTATGCTAATATTCAATCGGACAATCTAACTACAATTGCTATATTGAAAGAGGTGTTAACTAGAGAAGCTACCAGAAAGAAAATTCAATTATCAATTAAATTAGGTGATTAAAATTATTTGAATTTTTTAATTGATCAAAGAAATTGACTTGTGCAATATAATTCACTGATAAGTTGGTTGTTGTGATAGTGTTGCGGTAGAACAATTTGTTTTAAAAATTTAAACTACTTTTGAAATGTTTAAGTAGTTGATTCTAAATAGTGGTGTAGTACATGTTTCCGATACTAGGATCTTGATGAAAGCTTTAAGAAATAATTTCATATTTCATTAACTTTTAAACATTTTGTTTCGAATAGATTTTTTTAACTGATCAGATATTTCGGATGTATGTGGGATTTCGACATTTTCTATCAATCAAGATTAAATAGTGTACACTATGAATAAATAAAAAAATACTTTAGTTCATTATAAAAAAATATTTCAGATTATTGTGCACTGTCAATAGAAAGAATTATCTAAGGTTTAAATCATTTACCAGTGACTATGATTATAGTTGCACAAGTCGAATATCTGGAAACGAAAGAAGCCCACTGACTCACTGAGAAGAATGAGAAAACATTTCAGCAAAGAGAATTTTGTTTCTGATGAAATAATTTTCATGTATAATCACTGAGTCAGAGAGAATGTAGATGGCAAATAAACCAGGATTATCCAGTGTTGAAAAGCACTTCATTCTCAAATGGTATGGAAATTCTTGGAAAAGCAATTCCTTTGGCAATCGGTGTCGTGAGATTTGGATCCTTCTATAAATGCATTATACATTGACTGCATTATAGTTCAGTGAGCTAGGTTAGAAACTTCAGTTGCTGCGTATGACACAACAGTATAGTGATTCACTAAGAGTTATTCAGAATTGTTCAAAACTGCTTTGTATTAGTTTGGGACTCCATACTTTCAGTGATCATCCATGATCCTACCTGAGATTCAATCCAGGTAGATCAAACCTCTTGTACAATACTTAGCTTTCAAACTACTGAATCTGCATCCCTTAATTTACACTTATAATTCTAATACATGGGTCATTTTATAAAAGGGGTATGCGCATACTTCATAGTATTAATCATTTTAAATTATGGGAAAATACAGGGTATCTAATAGGAAACCGTAAGAAGTGGTGTCATAGTTGAATAAATTAGTTAGATGAATTCAATAAAGCCTTACCCAGAACTGAAAATACTTTTTCTCCAATGCACGTTTTGTAACTGGTATTGACAAATGGAAATGGGAAACTTTACAAGTCATTCTTCATTTTAAATTAGCATGTACAGTTTTTAGTCTGTTTTCATATGTATCCGTAACTTTGTACTTACTTACTTACTTACTTAAGCCTGTTACCCACAATGGAGAATAGGCCGCCCACCAGTTTTCTCCAACCAATTCTGTCCTGCGCTTCCTTCTCCAGTTCTGTCCAATGTTTGTTCATTCCTCTCATATCTTTCTCTATTTCTCGGTGTAGTGTGTTCCTTGGCCTTCCTCTTTTCCGTTTACCTTGAGGGTTCCATGTGAGAGCTTGTCTCGTGACGCAGTTCGGTGCTTTACATAGTGTGTGTCCTATCCACTTCCACCTATTCTTCCTGATTTCCTCATCCACTGGAATCTGGTTTGTTCTCTCCCACAGTAGGTTGTTGCTGATAGTGTCTGGCCAACGAAACCGAAGTATTTTTGGTAGACAACTGTTCATAAACACTTGTATCTTCTGAATGATGGCTTTGGTAGTTCTCCATGTTTCCATTCCATACAGTAGAACTGTCTTCACATTTGTATTGAAAATCCTGATTTTGGTTTTGGTTGAAAGTTGTTTGGAGTTGCAGATATTTTTCAACTGTAGAAATGCAGCCCTTGCTTTGCCAATCCGCGCCCTCACATCTGCATCGGATCCACCTTTCTCGTCGATGATGCTGCCCAGATATGTAAAGGTGTTAATTTCCTCCAAGGCATCCCCATCAAGAGTGATTTGATTGGTGCATGTTGTGTTGTATCGGTCCGTAATTTTGTAGCTCATCCATCTTATAAAATTCATTATTTTCCACTATCAGACATTGTTGAGCGTTTTTCTGTTCAGTTTATGGATGAGCTGTGCATACAGAATCACTACTTTTCATTTTAAACTTAACTGTTGATGTCGTTTACTGTTTTCACCCGGTAAGTTTGGGATAACTACTGAGCCATGTTCATGGAACATATATGTAGCGTTAGCTTAGAGGTGATTGAAATGAAATCTTCAGTGAAAATTCTGCTCTTATATACAACATTCACCCACTAAACAGTAACATGTTTGTAAATGCTAGACATTACACTTGAGATGGTGGAGAAGATTTGTAGCTCAGGTGGATGATTTTGGTGGTGTTGTTTGGTTCTCTGAGCAGGGTGTTTTGGTTGCGGAGCTTTCACTGTTCTTCTGAACAACATCATCAGCACAAACTTCAGATAGAAGTGAAGCATTCGAATTTCTCCACGTTTGACCTGTAACTTGTTCTGCTAGCCTCGATCTTAGCACAGACATTACACTGTTATTCAACATAGAGAAAGTAGATGGTTAACCTCACAGGTTTTTACCAAATGATTGGCTCATGACATTTTATGTCTCTCTCTCCATTTAATTACAAACTTCCAATCTATTATTGTTACGAAATTGTACACTTGTTATTCACGTTTATACAGTAAATACTTTAGTTTCGTGTAAACTATGACTTAATACTTACAGAGCATCATGGTTTTGTAGTTTATTGATTTAATCATGTGAATTTCAAGCCTTAATAATATAAAGCATCACTTTCCTAGTGTTCTTGATAGTTTAAAGAACATAGTAAAATATCACTTTTGATGTCGACAATTTCGGTTTATATAGTATTGGCAGATGTATGATCAGTAAACATAAGTAGAGAAAATTCAGAACCGTGTTATGCGGACTTATATGGGAATATGTTGACAAGAAAACGAATTAAACTAGGTGTGTTAGGTC